AAACCTAGTGTAAAATGTAGGACATTATGGGTATGAACAAAGGCCTGAATATGGAAATGAAAAGTGAATCTTCCACTACAATTCAACATTCGGTTTCCTGGATGGGCTTAATCGTCTTAGTATGGAAAGATTGAGACGATATTCGCATTTTATTGGAATCGAGCCAACACCTTGACGTGTTTAATTTTAAGGTGTTTTTTTTTTGGTAAGATCAGTACATTTTACACTATGTTTTGTTTATAGAACGTTTATCTCGACAGTCAATTTTCCTTGTAGTATATTAAGTCTGAAGGCGAACACGTACATTAACAACATGTGGGATATAGGTGTAATGGCAGACTTATTTTAATACTCTTGAAATGTAAACAAAAATGTGTTACGTGTACAACGAATATGAGCGTGTACGAAACGCAGAGCATCCATTGACGTTTTCGCAAATATTTGTCTCTCTCTCGAACAGTTGCCAAGTGTGCCACTCGGCTGATAGGAGTAATTGGAGCGGCTTTATTATTGACTGTTCACGTTGCCCACATTTTTACTCGTTACTCGAGCCATACAAAGAATTCTACTGTTACACCGGTTATCTCTTACTCGATCCATCAACATCCTGATATATAGCGAAGGAAAATTAATATCTTATTACCGCTATGTAACGTCACGTCGATTTTCTTTAAATAACTGCGCACTGGAAGATTTTCTCTCGAATGTTTTTAATAGCTATCATTTAACTCCATTGTGTCGGAACATTTAAATTCAATGCTACCTTCATCATAGTAGTAACATTCGCGGAACAACAAAGAGAATTTCTCTCCGAGAAAGTAGATCTTGGAGACCTAGGGAAATTAAGGTCTGCTGGTCCCGCACAATGGGAGTATGTCATTTTCCGTTACAAAAGTGCACTTCCAAGCGGTTTCAGCTTTCAGCACAAAATGTCCTTGCTTATTAGAGTCACAACAAAGGAAGTTCCCGGCGTTTAGAGGATAACGAGGAATACTTGGCATTTTACAGCGGAGCTATCAGTTAATTTTAGAAACTTTGATGGATCTGCTGACGCGACTCGAGTATGATTCACGCTTCGTTCACAACTGAGCGGAGGAAACAACGAACGGCGCTCCTTTGTCCGACAATGGGAAACATGGGAATTTAGATCCAACCGTCGATCCCCTGGATCGGAACCAGATAGCTATGGAAACGTCCACGTGACGTAGATGTCGGTTAGTTGAAAAACCGGAAACTCGATGCTACCGTATCGGATTCCCGTATGCTGATTCATTGCTAAAAAACAGTTGTCACGTTAATTCATAGTTTCCAGTATTCTGACTCTTTGGTGGCCGGTCACGTGACTCGGAGACGATGATTCAAACGCGCAAAAGTCTGCGAACGTCAATTTCCCGCGAAATACAAATTTATTTACGTGCAGGATGTCCGTTTGTGTGTCTGACGTGACCTTGTATCCGAGCTGTAGCTGTGACCAGTTTAATGCTGTAACTTTCTCGAAAGAAATAAGCTACATAGTGTTTTCCTTGATTTAAGGAGCTGTTTAAAGAGTATAGTACACAATGTACCAATTCATACGGCACAAGATTTAAAGCACCGATTAGGAATCTGTCGTCAATAAATAAGACGCAGGCATGGGATTGGTCCTAAATTATGTACCTATTGAATTGAATGATGGACATTTTGAACATTTGCCATAGATAAGTGTAGTAATCCAAAAAAAAGTTTTTTTTTACCTATGTTCTTTAAACATTTTTTGTTGGTTTTAATGAGTACTACATATGTCCTTGATTTTTTAGCACAACCTTCGTTGAACACCCTCTATACACTGTATGCGAATCGTTGCTGGAAATTAAATGTCCTCGATCTGGAAGTCTGGCGAAGCGATGATAAATATAGTTTCTATATACGGAGATGTTTCAGCCGATTTCGGACCTTAAGGGTACTAATAATTCAACTTAAGAGTACGCTGACATTCTTAGCATCGCGGCTGGAATACTAAACACGCTGAACGCCCGTAATTACCATTCATATTATTTCCCTAAAGATGCGTCTTGATCTCCATATTTTCCACGTTGCGCGCCGAACATGCAAACGTTTAGATTAACGTAACGTTGTCACTTTTTACATTCGTATAGTATTTACTGTATTAAAACAAAATTATTACAACGAGAGAGTCATTGTAAATATCAAACTGTCAAGTGAGTTTACATGAAATGGATATAAGATTCTTTTAAAACATAAATAAATCAAAGAAGATATGTGGACTGGGCGTGAACAAAATTTATTTATAAATCGTGTAAGTAATGTACTTTGTTGAATACAGTACACATTTATTTTACTTATCTTATGTTATTAACATTTCGTATCTAGGATGTTCTGTGAAGAGAAACGATAATTGACAGCAATCGAAATTATAAAACTTGATTTATTCCAACTCCTCATTGCCAATCACGTGACTCGGATGCGGTGATTCAACCGTACAGTGCTTGGCGCTGAGCTGTCTTTATTACCGAAGTAACTATCGTTGGTAGAATGTACGGAGCGGGTGTTAACAATTCTTTGTGTAAAAATTCAGCGTCTCGACGGAATGGCAGGAATGAAGTATCGTCTTCGAGTCTTACGAAGTATGGCCAACTATTGTAATCAGTATAGTACTCTAGTATCTGCTACGTTTATTCATTTTTTGTTTGCCCTCGAAGAATATCTTGAAACTGAATGATTTCAACTTACAAACAAATAGATCTTCAAACTGATACCTTAAAATGTTGCTGTATAATATTACCAAGTACATGCGTTTATTTTTATAGATGAATTTAATATGGCGACTTTCAAGTTCTAATGTCAGGGACACCTAATTGGACACTAATGAAATCTTCGAGAGCAAATGATTAACCGAAGCTTTCAAGTTTTTGCTTACTTGTTTGTTGATAACATTCATAATTTAATATTTACAATATTACATACAATATTGTACACATTGCATTGTATTAATATTTACAATATTATTATAATATTTAACATTCTTCGCTCAAATTTAAATTTCTTCTTATATACAATTTTAGTAGCTTAAGGAAATTCTTTTGCCGATGCACGAAAAACATATTAATTTGCACGTGTGTTACCAAGTAGACATAAAAATGGGTACCAGTAAGCTTGCACGTGCATGTTGCTAGAGTGTTTACGCAATAAATTTAACATACTTTCACCGCTCTGTGATAACGCTACGATCAATTTTACGCTTTTCCGTACTTATCTGTGATCTTTCATTTTAATTGTGTATTTACTCGACGTTCTATAATTAACAATCATTCATTGATTAAACGTACGTAAAGTGATCCTTAATTCGTTTCGAAGGTTTGCGAAATGGCGCGTAATTCAACAGCAGAAGCACCCGCGTGTTTGCAGCTCCCAATTACGCGGTACCATCAAAAGTTACAAGACCCAATTTAAACTGACTTGTATTGATTAAACGGAAGTGGTCGTGAAGAGTAGATAAAGAGCAATGAATTAAGAAATTGAAACACTTTGCTAATTCGTCGCCTTTCTTTGTCGTACTTGGACCATTTCGATTGTCAAGTTGCACTGATACGCAATAGGATCAGAACGCTTTGCGACACATATGAACGACATCCGAATAATTGATGACTTTAGACGTATTTTATTGGGTTGAACCAAACGTTTCTTCGGATTTTATTTGTTAGTAGAAAATCGAACGAACTTCTGGTTCGATCCAGTATATATTCTGGCAATGAGGATGTTGGGGCCTTGTGGCGGGTTTTATAGGAATGAGGATGCGCCATTAAATTATAGGAAAACCTTAAAATTTTTAGATAGTAACATTTACAGTTTTGAGAATACATTATATTTAGTACTAGTAGTAGTATAATGATCCAAATGATGAGTACGCAAGTCCACGTATAAATATTTATATTTTTAATAATAGAGCAAATTATTGCAGTTAGCGTGACAAATGGTCTAAAGTGTAATTATAGAGTATGTTGAAGAAAAATCTTCTTAAGGGAGTTAGTCGAGGAAATACAATGGAATAATAAATATTTCACAATTATATTTAATATTTATGTGTACTTTACAAGAAAGTATTCTTTTTTTAATACAATGAAGCGATCTGTAGCTGCACGTGGCACTAATAATAGCAATGCAGTACAAAAGATATTTTATTACTGACATATGCTCGGATTTTGTACGGCAGTCTTTCTACACAGTTTCTATTTTATCGCTAAACACAGAGTGGAGACTCGCGCACGACACCTGTTACTTCACCTCTCAGCGATAACGTTTCATTACCACGCGCAGGAATTTTATGTAGATTCGCTGATCATTCAAAACTTTCGTTTTGCCCTGCACGAATCGATATGCACGCGTGTGGGTTGCTGGCGTAACGTCAGCTAAAATTGGAACTGTCTGAAATATGTATACCGTATGTGTCGTCGGGTTCGATCATCTGAAATTATTAGATAAAATATATCTTGGCTGGATAAAAGACGCTTGAAATGAAAATTACGTCGATAGGTTTGAAACATTTGAACGTTCCAAAAAAAAAAAATGATCTCGAACAAAATTTATATGGGCCATCGACATAAGCGATAATGTATATTCTATCATAATAACGTTTTCGTGCATGAGTCGATACTGTTATCTAACTCCAAACAGATCGTTCGTGGTCATGTTTAAGATAAAGTAAAAATGACCCGATGTTTGTTTTACATGTAACTGCAGCAGCTAACAAACTATAGAATTGGTGGGAAAGTACTCTACAACTATTTACAGAATATAGATTGAATTTTCTTTGTATTATGGTGAATTTGTATTCTCCGGACCAATGAGATGCACGTAGATCGAATGACTAATTTCTTTTGAAAAAATGGAGTTAGAACAGTTAAGAACTCGAGCCGCACCGCAGAAAATGCAAAACTAAACAATGCAATGAACTTCTTATTAAGGGGATCGAAGCATGTGGCGCAGCTTCTACGTTCCTGGATCGTTCGGTTACGAGAGAGCGGCGAGCCGGAGAGATATCCAGTCGTGATGGAGGTGAAGCCGATCCCGAAAGCGAGATCGACGGTTCCGCATCGGCCGATACCAGCGCCGCGACGATTGCTTCCGGTGATCCCGGCGGCTCGGCTGAGCAGTCAGAGCAGCGACTCGAGCCAATCGGAGAAGAGCGACGACGCAAAAACGACACCAGAGACACGACCTGGCGCAAACAATGAATTCTTCCGTAGTTTGAGCACAAGCTCCCGGCAGCTCAAAGACGAGATCTCGGAGAAGGTGACGACCAAGGGCCGGGCAGTGATCTCGAGCACCAGAAATGCTAGCATACGATTAGAGAAGTCGATGAAGAACCTTCTGACCAGACGGTTAACGTCCCTGAATCAGGACGATCTTCTTCGCGACACCATGGACGGGAAGAAGTTCAAAGATCCCGCAGGGGATGATAGATGCGTGTCGATGCCGTCGAACGATATTTTCAGCAGCATCACGTTCTACAGCCCGTTGAACGTAAATTTGAGAAGCATGAAGAACGAGGAGGACCTTTCCGGCACGCGAACCAGCCCCCCGCCGCCGGTCTATCCTCCACCCCCGCTTCCTGACGAGTCTATCTACGATGAATTGCAGTCGACCACGTCGGGCAGCAGTCGATACGACACTATCAGCTCGACCGTCTCTGTCAAGAACGAGAGGGACTTCCCCGAGGCGTTTAACCTGCTTAGTTTCGCGCTCAATCAGGTAAGGATCCTGTTATAAGGTCAATGTCCCTATAATCATGTAAGAGTTCTGTTATTGCAGAAAGTGATTTCCATATTTCTTATCAACTATCGTTTTTCGTAAAATTTATAATAGGACCATTTGCCCTGCGTTCGACGTGTATACTCGTCATTGATTGATTTTAATTCCGCACTCTGTGAGGGATTTTTAAAACTAAATTCCGTAGTTAAAGAGTTAATACTTTCGTTGTAGAGAATTAAGAAATGCATCGAATGGTGTATACAAAAATGTATAGTTCTACCGATTGTTTATATTCAAAACAGCTCCATTGGCAGACGTTCTATCTTATCGAGCTATCTTTTCCCGTTTCTCGTATCAGGCCAGCGACTCCGACCAGAGCTTGAATCTCTCAGACGTCAATGTGTCGCTATCGCACGACAAGATCGACGCGAGACGGCTGTCCAGGTCCGACTCCTGGACGTTTTACGACACGGCGCCGGCTGGCAGGTCCGAGGACATCGACGAGTTGGACAGGATATCCAGCGGCGAGGAGGATATTCTGGACAAAGACGTGCCCCAGTTGAATCGAACGTCGTCCTCCTCGAACGAAAGCCAGGCGTTCGTTCAGAACTCTTTGTACGAAAATCTGTTGCCCCTAAAAATTGCTGGAGGATCAGATGAGAGACAAGAACCATCCCACGTTCCAGAGAACCGACAACAGAGCAGTCGATCCCTTCTGTTCGAGTTCGATCCGTTCGCGAAAACGGACGAGAACGTCTACAGCAATTTCGAGAACAACGATATGATGTTGCTGGAGACACTGTTGGCGACCAGTGATTCACCAAGCAGTGCCGGGAGTACCCTCGATTTCCAGGAAGCAGTCGATAACGAGGAGGAGCAGAACGACATGGGTGAAGAGGACATGCTTCACGCTGAAATTTCCGCAGTTCCGCCGGTGCCGCCGAAAAGGTTCGACTCGTTGCCCAAGAACGAATACTACGAGGTCACGACGGAGACCTCTTCGTTGCCCGATAAAACAGCGATCGCGAAGAATCCAGCGCTCTTGCCCAAGTTGGCGCATCTGGTCACGAGGAAGCAGCCCGCTGTGCCGCCCAGAAAATCGGCGAAGGATCGTAATAGCGAGATCACGGTGGCTGCTTCGGATCCTGCGACGCCTGTCGATGAGAGTCCAACAGGTAAATATATGTAGTTGAATGAAAATGATACACAGTAAATTCTCGATCAGTGTTAGAAGACTCTTCGATATTGACAAGGGGAGGTCCCCAGGTGTAACACTCACTTTTTAATGAAATTTATCACAGTAATAGAGTTTGGAATTCTGAAGCCAATGATATTTGTTACAGCCGCATATGACCATCAGTTTATGAGATATTTAATGTTCAGTGCCGAGGAGATATCGAACACTTATCGAGGATTTACTGTAGAGTAAAGTGGCCGAATATGAAAATGTTTTTCTGCGTTTGTGAAGAAATCAAATTACAATACCAAGGTTTTCTACACTGACTAATTTTTAATTAACAAATCCATTATCAATAGAAAATCCCTTAAAAATACACGAAAAAACTCAACTCAATTTATGCAATTATAAAAAATACCCGTTAAAATCGTCAATTCACGCAAGTGGTTCTAATAATTTCCTCGCTGTACTCACTGCGGTAGCCCACGTTTCGGGATCTATTTTCAACACACTGGCAACACGTCGATTTTCGCCAATTCCAGCTACAACGGTAATCACACCGGCCGCGAAAGGTTCCGAGGAAACGTCGACGAATTCTCCGACCGGTAAAACGACGGAGGAGCATCGTCGGGTCGGTATGATACAGAAACTGAAGAAACTGAGACACGAGTCGACGACTCACGGTATCAGGCCGAACATGATGAATCTTGTGAAGTCCGGCAGCAAACTGTTGTCGAGGAGTCGGGACCAAACAGCGAGTTCCAATACAAAATCGACGAAGCTGGAAAGGCCGAAGGTCACTATGACGCAGAATCCGGCGACCCATCGTGGAGTGGTTTACAGGACCGGGGTAGGGATCGAAAGGGCGAAGGATCTTGTGCAGAGGGCAGCGGTGCTCGGTGACCAGAGACTCTCGTTTTACACCGATAAGAGCATGTCTACGGTCAAGGAGGTCATTCAACTCGACACAGTGTACAGCATTCATCTTCTGCAGGATGTAAAGTGAGTCCACTTTTTTTTCCCGGGGATAGAACACTCCTCGAGACGCGTGAATATACAGGGTGTTCGTGGAAAATGGGGTCAGCGTTTTCCTCGTAAACAGTAAGTATTTCAAGAAAATGAAAGAGGAAGAACTTACAGTATATCTTACTGGCGACACGATCATTTATGTCAATTATTTTATATTTACATTATTTTTCCGAGAAATGAAGGTGACCTTCAGTTTTTTAATTTTGTAAAGTAATTCATAAAGGCTAGAGCAAAAGTAGGAATTTCTTTCTTCTCTTGAATATTTTATTGGATTAAGAATAGTATTTTCTTTTATTGTATTTCACAAAGCCCCATAGGTTATAAATGCATAAAATCCGCTGTCTAGTTATATCATTTCAAGCCGAATTCACTCATGTGTGGTACTCTTATTTCTGACCCTGTATGACCTTGGAACTCATTGTGTCACATGTGAGTGAATTCGTCTTAACTCGCACTTTCATACGACATTAAAAAACATAACGTCCTTTTTAAGAAACTGAAGATAACCTTCATTTCTCGAAAAATAATGTAAATATAAAAAATTGAATAGTAAGATATACTGTAAGTTCTTCTTCCATTTTTTTCAAATACCTACTATTTACGAGAGAAAGGCACACGTAGGGTGAACAAACTTTCTATCTTCAAAAAATGATTCTTTTTTCTCTATCTTCAAAAAAAAAGTGAGATATTAGAGGTGTTCATGTTAGGTGGGACACCCTGTATTATATCTTTTGTCCTGTTTCTTGAAAACGTATACATATTGCGTTAAGTAAAAGTCCACGTGCAGCGATCTATGAAAGGAAAAAACAGAATTTGCACATAATGAGAAATGTTGAAGGGAAAAGTGGATAACGAAGGCGATTTAAAATGCTCAGGGTAGTCGATGGCGAGACCGTTCACTGTACAGCGATTAGCGTAGACGGAAGACCGAGTGTGCACGTGTTCTACGCAAAGGGTGTCTCCGAAAGAAGGTTTTGGGCTCAACGAATATTGGAGGCAATTACTCTAGTCTTTCCCACGAAATACACGGCCGATCTGACGAGGGCAGGATGGGCCTACTTAAAGGTACAAAACACGCTCTGGTGGATAGTACAGTAATTCCTCGATGAATGCTACGTACTCAGATCCACTTCGAAGCATTTGTGGCAGGGCCAAAAGGTTTTTAATCCTTCATAAATTTGTTTTTTGCCCGAAGTCGAACCTCTACTTAACTTTTGTTTATTCTGTTTTAATTGGTCCCTCAAGGGAACTCCCCTAGTGGTGGGAGTAACGCCGTTGCTCGTGACGCATTCATCGAGCAATCACTGTACTTGTTTATGACTGAAATTAACATTTTTCTTGTCGATGAAATTAACACTCGGCTATGACATTGGGTCGATATGACCAAAAATTTGACTACGATGTAAACTATCTGTGAGGCATCATTGCAAATGATACTACTGACGTCATGTTGTAGCAATTTCAGATATCCTAAAAAAACTTTTTCTCGGAATTTTCTTTCAAGAATTTTTTTAAACATGATGATATTTTAAATGTTAATTTTATACAATGAAAATGTATTTTGTAATGCTCTAACTTTAGGTCAGAATTCTTGCTACTTGATTTAATAGATAACTTTGTTAAAGCCTTATATAGAATGTTAAGTTGACTAATATTAACTCATGCGTGTTCCAGGAAGGCGTAACAGGCACGTGGTTTCCGGCTTGGGTTCTCCTGCACCATAGATCTCTAATTTACACAAAGTCCTTGGAACCGTTCACAGCCAATTCTCTCGGAGAGCTCGATCTTCGGAAAGCGCGATGCATTGGTAAGTATTATATGAAAATACTTGTTTACTATTCGAAATATTTATAATATTCATATTTATAATTATAATTATAAATAACTTTCTAGTTTCTTTTTTTAACTATGATAACTTGTTAATTACAAATAACTTCTACATAGTTTCTAAATAATGTTTAAAAGAACACTGTAGAGTAAGTGTCTTCCAATGCAAAAGCGTTTGCAGTAGCATTTAAGAAAGTGATTCGAATCTTTGAATGGTAACATACGGGAAACAGTGTTAATTCTTAAAAATCTAATTTTCTGGTTATGAATCGTTATATTTTTATTTACGAAACCGAAAACTGAAATTATTCTCATGTATTCGTGTAGTCAGTCCTCTACCGTATTTATTTTTTATGATACATATGGCTGCGCACGACTAACTGTACGATTTTAAAATGACTGACCAGCTCTGACCTTGCCGAATACTCGTCGACAGTTGTCATTGTGATTTACAGCCGAAATAATCTTTTGACCAGCCTACAAAGGCGTCGTAAGTTATTTTATTAATGCACTCCGCCGTAAATAGAACAATCAAAAGTGTTTTCACTCTGAAACAGACAGATCAATAGGCTATAAAACACGAAATATTTTATTAATACATTGTAAGATACATAAAAAAAGGGATACAAGTAAGATGCAAAACAACTAATCGTTATTTAATTATATTTTAATTTTAACTGGACTTTCTAAAATCCCGACAGATTTAATGAAAATTCGAAAACATACCACCATTTTTCGTAACTACACACAATGATCATGTGGGAAACCTCTGGTGACCGTTGTGAATAACGCAAGATTTGATACCTTAATTCAGCTAACTTTGCCATGAATCAGTTTAAATTTATACTGAATAAGTATTTAAAATTATTCCTCTGATACTGTATTGTTTGCTCATGTAGAGCAATTACACAATCACAAAAGGGGCGCGGTACTGGTAGAGCTTCTAAATAGTAGGACAACCTGCGTAGATCATGTTTAACTCACTAATCGCGGTTGACTCTGAACTATTCAAATATCAGCGATTTCGTGTGGCACAATCTAAAGCAACCGTCGCGAACATCATTACATTGACACGGTTACGGGCTTCCGTCCTAACGAATGGGTCAGAGAGATACGAGGTCTTAGATTTCTAAAAGAGATGCAAGTCGTTTCTTTCAATGACAAATTTCCAACAAAGTCCTCGAAAGAAGATTGGAAATTTCCTATTTGAGGATTTTCGCCAGGATTTTCGGGATTCTGAGCCACTGTGACCCATATCGAAATGGTTAAGAGTAGCAGAAATTTAGGAGACAACGACGATATGTTACAGTTTTGCGAGAACAAGAAGGTCCAATTCCCGGTGCAGGTTTCGTTCCGGTGGTGGTTGTGGATGCAGGTGGTAGCGGTGCATTGCACATGGCTGCCCCGGGCACACACGAGGGTTCTGCGTGGAGGCACGCCCTTTACCAATCGGCAACCACGTGCGGTCCAGGTCTGGAAGAGCAGCAACTTACGCAGGATGATGTGCCCGTGATACTCGACAAATGTATCAATTTTATATACGCTCACGGTAATTGACAGCACCGATTCAAAAAATATCCCGCCGAACGACTTTGTACTTTTTTTTAGTAGTTGGACGATAGGTTAATACAAACAACGTTATTATCTTTTGTTTCTTCACTCACTTGCGCTGGCAGTTGTTTGGCAGTTGTTTGACAAATATGTCCTTAGGAATTCGCAGGGAGCCTGATAACCAGTTACAAGTTTCAAGCAAATTGCCAGCAATGAATGACAAAAGTTGTTTAAATAACCATAGCCATCTGTTTCCGCATTTGACTTGGGTTTTGCAGGCAACGCCAGCTGATAAAATGGTAATACAAATTGGCAGAATGTCTTGATAAACATATTAAATATCGAAACTCGTAGTTTTCCCTGCCTATAATATACCAAATGCTGCTTTAGACAAAAGCATACAAACATTGTGAAAGGAAATTTAGAAATGGGTACCTGGATACCCGAGTACCCAGTTGTTTACACAAGGGTTAATAACATTATGCACGAAAAATTAATGCTTTTTTTTTAAAGGTATTATGACTGAAGGGATTTATCGTCGAAGCGGATCCAATAGCGTGGTCGTTCGATTGCTACAGGCGTTCCGTCGCGACGCATGGGCAACGCAAATTACAAAGGACGCATATACGGAGCACGACGTCGCCTCGATTCTCAGGAGGTTTCTCCGTGATTTACCGGATCCTTTGTTTCCTGCTAACATTCACGATCGGCTTTGTCTTACTTCAGGTAAGGAACACTCACTGTCCTTGACTGGCCACGCACGGGTTCAATCTACTAACACAATGCTTTGGGAATGAAGTACGTCCTAATGCTACATTATTGCTCGAACGTTTGAAATTGTTCAGTTTGTAAAATCAAAATTAATTTATTACTTAATACTTGAAATTTAGTTATTACATTTTGTATGCAGTTTCAAGTTAGTTTTTAATAAAGTTTATTTAAATGGAGTTCAGTTTTTTTTTTTATTTCCGTGTGCAATGTTGTTATCTTATTGTTATGATATTACATTTGAAATCAGATAAGTTTAAGAATGACGAGTATTTCAAGTTGAACAACTGGTTTCTGTCCCGTTGACAAAGACGATGGCGAAGCTTTTCCGCGAAGAGCAATACGTGCAAATAAATCGCTTCTGGCCCTCGACCGTCATTTGCATACGTAATTATAAGAAGAATGTCAAGCTGGACCGTGTTGGCACCCACGCCTACTTTCTCACATCGTAGCCCGTTCCATCGGGAAGTACCCTATATCATTGAATTTCCGGTGTCATCACACAAAAGAACTTAACGACTTTCGGATATTGTTTAACAAAGAGCGTGTGTCCCACTTTCATCAAATTACTGAACGCACGGAACATGTTTTATATACATTGTATACTGTACAGGGGAGTTCGACGAATACGTTTCAATATTTTACGTGGCGATGGATAAGCTTAAATGGGACAAAAGATGTCTTCTCATACCATGTTCAGTCTCATATCATTTGGCAGAAAATAAAACAAATTAAACGGAACAAAAAGTTTGCTATAACACTACGTTTGATTTACTAGAAATTTATAGTAATGAAAAATGGAATTTGCATGACAATCTACAGTTAAATGATTACACAAACTCGAGAAATAACCGTGATACTCTTTCATCCGCAATCTTGAAATTTGAATTTTCGTTGTCAGATTGTTTATCAGTAGACTAAGGATTTGATGCATTTATAGCCTATAGGGGTCTGCAAAATACAGTAAAAGACAGAAATTTCACCGTATCCAAAGAGTTTTCTAGTTTATTCTAAGCCCAATACGATACTTAAGAAAAGCATGTAATTCCTAGATTTACTTAAAATATAATTATCAATGACCTGAAAAATTCTCGATTGTCAAATTCCACAAACATCCGATGAAATATTGACTTTTGGCCATTTTTTCCAGCCCACTGTGTGTGTGTCGGTAGTGCGATAGAGGTCACTAAGGTCTCTAGGGTTAAGAAAACCCCTGATAAAGCACGAAAAAAGAATCACTGCAGAGGTTCGATTTTTATTTCCAGAGAACAGTAACGAGGACGACCGAGTGGCGACGTATAGGAAGCTTTTGTTGACTTTGAGCCCCGTGCCGGCGGCAACGGTGCGAAGAGTTCTTGCTCACCTTCACTGCCTTAGTGAACAGAGTTCCAGGAACCTGATGACCGTCGAGAATCTGTCCGCGATCTGGGGGCCGACGTTGATGCACGCCGGCGAGAACAGCGCGGAGGAATGGAACCGTGCCGAGACCCGGGTAATCGGTGATCTGATCAAGCTCTATCCGAAGCTTTATCAGTTGACCGCGGCCGAGCTAGCGAAAGAGGCGAAAATTCTGGAGGTGCTCGAGAAGCACCATGTTTCGAACAATGGGCCACGAGGAGCACCGTCCGGTGACCTGAAGATGTGGATATACATCCTGTCCAAGGACGGGGAATGCGTCAACGTAACCGTAAGTTTTTATAATTAAATGGAATAATTTTCAAGGGAAATTAATCTATCATTTATGTACAGTCAGTAAAAAAAGTCTACATGTACCCTTTAAAACGAAATAATTTTTTTTAAACTTGGACCAGGTGACTTGAGTTTTTTTGTAATGTTAGATTAGTTTATTAAATGATGTGTGAAAGGAAATTTTGGAGAAAAATGGCTTTTGCCCCTCGCTACAAGAGAAAAAAATTGGATTTTGTATATACAATATTTAATATTGCATAATAATTTGAAACACGAAAATAATGTGTGTCTGGCTACGTGCGGCATTTTTCACTGTTGCAATCGATGTGTTAATATTTTTGCCTCCTCCCCCCCTCCCGCCCCTCGGACTGATAATCTGGCTACGCCCATGAAGAAGACCCATTCTTGTACTCGTTCATGACAATGAAGCATTCTGCCCAATTTGCCCCGACAGATTGGACCACAGAAGACTGCGTTCGATATATGCCAGGAGCTCAGCGAGAAAACGAATTTACCGGTTCATGAACTCTGTCTGGAGGAATATACGTTGTCGGGCGCGTTGGGACGCCCGCTACACCACACCGAGCGTGTCCTCGAGGCGGTGGCAAGGTGGGGATACTGGGATCCCGAGGATAGAAAGGACAACGTCCTCATTCTTAAAAGGGATCAACTCTACAAGGATATAGTGTCCCGGGTAAACACAATAGAAAATCTACCCAGATAAAGGTTGAAAGGGAGGCACAGAGTTTATACTGATAGTGTAATACGCAATCGGCGCCTTATTTAGGATTAGATTTACAATGCAGGATACGAAACGTCTGTGGAACAATTGGACGTGCATACACTCACGTTCATATACAGGGTGTCCCAAAAAAGATGTATGTCCTTGAAAGACGGGGGGGGGGGATTGAAAATATAGAATAAAATTTGTTCATTTGAGACTTTCTTTTTTGAGAAAGTCGACTTTGGAAATCTGTTGGCTACGCGTGCAATTGAATAGGACTTGGCTAGCGCGTCTGTCCATTGCATTCTGTTTCTACTTACTGCCCAGAGCCTCGTACAAAAAACTTTAAACTACATTTTCGATTTGTTTTTTTTATCTAGACTCACCCTTTTTCCGGTTGTACTACCAGTTATCGACCACCCTGTACATATGCGAACACATTTTTATCTTGACCAATCTCATCTAAGATTCATTTACACACTTACGTTCGTATACGATTTCCTGGTGAAGTTAATTAGTACTATTCGCTTCCGAATGATTTGACCATTTCACCAGGATCACCATGTACATCACAGAATCATCAGTTTGCTGAAATTATGTTACAATTTGCTTCACACGCTCCGAATGCACAATAATGTATGCATTAGAAGGGTTCAGGGTCGTTCAAGTCTGAAACCATTTTCCATAGCGACCTGCTCGCAGTGGATCGGGCTACATGAGTCAGGAGGGAAAGATAAATAGCGTATTTACTCACCGCAAAAACAGGATGTGGTTTAATAAGGCCTGACCGTGCTCGTTGTTTTTACTTCATTTTCATTGTATAAGGGTGACCGGTTCGTAAATAACGTCGCATTATGCTCTTAAACGTGCGTAAAACAATACGTCCTTAACATGTTTATAAATTCTTCTCAAATGGTATGGAACAAGATAGAACCAATTATACTTTATACTTTAGTTGAATTTGTTTGGTGTAGTCCTTATCTGACTTTAAAAAGTAATGGCACCCGAGGGTTAAGAGAACATACTCGTGTAATACATGTAGGGGAAAGAGGGACATGATGGGGAAGCTAAGGAAAAATACAAATAAAATACTAAATGATGAAAAATAAAATGCAAATGGAAAATTAAGAAAACTGTTGCTTTTAATATTGAACATGTAATATATTTTTATTCGCTGTAAGTTTTGCACACCTTGAGAATTTGAGCATCCTTATTTCCTTTCTCAATTTTTTCTCACAGGTGAAACCACCACTGATACCATCTGGTGAACTGAAATTTGCCGACAGGAAGATGAAGCATTTTAAAACCTACCTCTTCGAATTTACTCAAGCAAAGCTTTGCTGTTACAAAGACAAAGCATGCTCCACCAAGTTGTACGAATGGAAGATAGAAGATATCATTTGGTACTTAGGCCATGAGCCTAAACGAAATCCACAGACTGGGTTGGTGTAGTACTCATTATCACAATATTATAATTCACGGAAAAATTCTGAAGAATATTCTTGTTACAGATGGTCCATTACATTTATTAGTAAAAATAAGAAACCAGTCAGGTAACAATTAAATCAAATATTTAAAAAATGCATGTGAACAAATTCTTCTGCTCTGGTAAAAGCTTGCATACAATGAAAAGTTATAATTCTATTTTAGGAGTAAAGAATCTCCATTCTTTGGTTGTACAATAGCTGGGACGCTAAAAGACGATCAATACAAGTGGTTAGCAGCTATGATTTTTGGCGAGTATCAATTAAATCTCCGACCCCCCTCAGTGAATCTTATGGATCCATAAACAATTAACATACTTTTTAAGCTATGTCTGTGCCTTCTAAATTGAAAATCAGATATTTTTGTATTGTATATTATTTCGTCATTGTTTCATTGCCTGTACTTGCCTTAATACGAGCGCGATTTCAATATTTTTATACAGTAATCTATGTATATATGTTACGAGAAATAAACAGAATCGTTGAAAAAATGATGTGTGTGTTATCTAAGTGATAGTTATCCGAAGAATTTTTCAACAATTTCTCAAGAAGCCTTTCGAGCATCAAGCACGAGATTAAAAGCTCAGAAACATGGATTAAGCTTCAATAATTGAAAATTAAACAGAATTGCGATACAGTTCAAGTCGTTACGATTATTGATGGATATAATAGAAATCATAATGTATTTGTTAATAACATTATGACTTGTATGTTTTCTAATCTATAAGTATGCGACACGTTGCGTCACCCGATTCCATTCAAATATTCGATTCAATCAATCGACCTACACGCATGCGCAGTATTAGCCTAGTTTCTTTGAAAAAAGAAACACAATGCGAAATTGCGAACTGTCAGTCTCTGCCGCATCCTCGCAGTCAGTAGGTGTTTGCAGGTCACCACTGATGCGTTCAGTTTCAAATGAGTGAAAGTTGAAGACATATTTATTTTCTTATTATTTCATAACATTCCTTTACTATCCTTACTCAGAAATAATAACTGGTGAAAACTATATAAGTTACTATAAATAGTCACGTATCTGCCGTTTTTAATTTTTTTAATTTTTCAAAGTAAAGTATCGTGTTTTACTAAACCAAGAACATTTAGCAATTATGAGCAGTGTACATCTTGGAGCTGGTGAGCATGTTACATTTGTAAAAATCAAAGAATTGTCTTAGTAATAAAACGTGATTAGAATCTATAATCAGATGAATCAGCTGCAATCAGTGCGTTCCTGAATGCCTACAAGAACTACGAAGTTTTTATTCGTATTTTAAGATTAATTACAATTATATTTTTATAGAGCTTGATAGAATCTATAACAGGATAAATGAATTTTTATTCGATTTTAGCTTCTAACATCGTAAACTACTCCATAAAAATTTATATTTGCATAAACATTTGCACTGTATTTATTGCGAAACCAATTGAAATTGATCATGTTTCTGTGTAGGCTCTGAAAAGCCTGCAGAAGTAAAGGGACAAGCACGTTTATATAGCATGAAATTTTGTCCTTTTGCACATCGTATTCGATTAATATTGTCTTATAAAAAAATTCCTCACGACATTGTTAACATCAACTTAAAAAATAAGCCGGAATGGTATTTTGAGGTATGCATATATTTTATGATGTCGATGTTTAATTCTTATATTCTATCTGGATCAATAGGACCCAAAAAGAATATTTAACTTTTAATCATTTTTTCTCTTGCAATAATACAACTATAATTATAAAACATACTCGTTTATTTTTTGTAATCTGTAGATACATCCTGAAGATAAAGTACCAGCATTTGTCGATACTGATGGTACAGTCATTGTAGATTCCATAGTAATAGCAAATTATTTGGATGAAAAATATCCTGAGCCTCCTTTATACAATGAAACAACAAGGGCTCGTGACTTAGAGCTATTGGATCATTATTCCAAGGTAATAGAAATTAATGAATAGAAATAAATATATGTATGTAAATACTTATTTGTATTCTTTTTAGTAACAATAACCTTGTTATCATAATTTCAGATTGTTACCATTTTTTCAAATTGCATACACGGTAATGACAAAAGGCCACTCAGTGAAATTATAGCAGAGGTATCAAACTTATTAGGAGAATTTGAGGAAGAACTTAAAACTCGTGGAACTACTTTCTTTGGAGGTTTTTAAATTCCTATTTTATTTTGTAAATTTTAATGATACAGTAAAAATGTCACCATTGTTTTTACATTTTTTATTCAAGGAATTCAACCAGGTATTGTGGACATACTGATGTGGCCCTGGGTTGAACGACGAAAGGCTTTGGCTTTGATTTATAAGGAGTCCATGAACTTTAATGCTGCGAACTTCACGCATATAGTAATAACAAAATTTCCGAAAATTATTTTTACATATTAGGACAGATATAAATGTTATTAACATTCTGAATTTATTTTAGATGGAATGGGTCCAAGAAATGAAAGCACAGCCATTTGTGCAAGAGAACGAATGTTCCCACGAAAAGTTTGCCAAATTGATCGAGGACATGAATGCAGGAAACGTTGATTATGATAACCTTTAAGATACTTAATAGAGCGGAATACTTCCACGATGTGCGATATTACACACTTTACTCTTACTACGCGCACTTATATGCGTATGTTGTTACTTAACTTAGGTTTCTAAAGTAATACATGCACAGTACATGTTGCAGTATTACAGTAATGATTTAGTAAAATTTCCAGTGACTAATTTAAAAACATATCGAAGAATGTCTTCTTATAACTAGGCTTCCTTAGGTTATAAAGATAAAAATTCGAGAGCTTCATAACTTATGCCTTCTATCGTGACAATATTGTATATTATGAACCTGTTCAATGCATCAGTACTGCCCTGTCACATTTATTGTGTGAATCTATATCGCAAGAAGTGCTATAAATATATTGTTTAGAGAATGAAGCCTTAATTCTATTGTATTCGTAATACTTGGAGGAATACCTTTATTTCGGACTGTGTTCATTGCTTGATTTCATAGCAAAATTCCTTTTTCTTTATACGAAATATACATGTATACTTGACATGTAAAAAATGCATTTAGGAGTATTTTAAAAATCTGAATAATAATTTCATCATGATTAAATAAAATCATTGAAACAACGTGTATACGTTCAAGAATCTTCGCATTATCACGTATTCACATCCACGTTGCTTGTACTTGGAATATCTCAGGAAGACTGAATTTCATCTATATTTATATGTGCAATAAATCGTAGTCGCATTTGCAAAGATGGTCTCAATCTTCGTATAATACATTCGACTTCATTTTTCATCATATCACCGACGAACATATACTTTATGTGATACCTATTTAGCTGATGTTAAGGAAAACATGAGTTTGCTTTATCTAACAATAAAATAATACAATCGCAAATTTATCAGTAAAAGGATACAATAAATCACAGACTGGATCCATATATTTTAAATGGGTTTGATGACGATCGACTTGTTCGAGCATTTCATATAAGCGGACCGCCAATTCTACTACACAGTTTGGTCTTTCGGCATTGAACCTTGCTAAAGTTGGTCCAATTAAATGACAAGCATATATCAATTGTTCTTCGCTATTTACAACCGGTTGAAGTTTCTCTTTAATGAATCTAAATCATAATAAATTTATATTACGTTGGCCCGTTTAAAACATAAAGAATTATATTCAACTTGACGCTTACTGAGGCATGGTAGTTATTTGTCCAGCACCAGCATGATGCCACACAGAGTGGGCTAATGCCAACATATAACTATACTTGTTTTCCAACAGACTATTATGAGTATTGTTGAAATTAAACATTTGAAACGGTGTTAAATTACTATACTGCCAATTTGCTAATCCTGGACTGTTAATAGTTTCCACTAATCGATCATGAATTGCTGACCAATAACATTCTGGTAAAGCAGCTAATAATAACCCAACACAATTTATCCACAAATGAATTTCATCTGACGGTATCACTGTGTATCTGGTACATTTTAATGTTTATCAAAATTTTTCAAGTGATTTAAAAAAACAATTAATAATATCTTCTATCTTACCCTTTTGCAACCACATCCAGTAATGAATTAGCAACCAAATTAGGAGCAACTGGAACAGCCATGAGTTCCACACACGTAACATATAGTGCATGTGCAGCAGGATTTGGAAATTCATTAAATCTCCAATCAGTAGCAGGGAAGTGAGCTGTACCTGACATTGCTTTAAAACAAATATTGTGTAGAAGGAAATATAATTCGACGAACGTTAATATGAAAAAAAAAATGACTTACTTTCTACAATTCGTTGTACTAAACGGATGTAGTAATCTAATTCTGGCATCCACGTAACAACATCGTCGGATGATCGCGTCATGTACATTTGGTAAGCTTCCGAGAGGGCCCATCCAGGCGCTCTGATTTCTCTCAATGAACCCAGAACTGCAGAAACTAGGCGTCGTTTTAGTGGTGGTCTGTCCCTCAACTTACGTTCATAATAATGTAATGTATTGTAAAGATATGTTACAGGTCGATCTGAAATTTAGTATACAAAATTAAAATTATATAAATTTCATTTGAATATAAAGTCAGCACTGTAAATCATATCCATAAGTGTATACAAACCATGGAATTTATACAAGCACCCCAAATGTTCTAATAATGTCTCTAAACTTTTTGATACAGCTGCGATTTCCAAGTATCTATGTACAACAATATCGAAAACTGGCAAAAATCGTAAGCACACGTTTCCGAAATGAACAGGTAGACTTTGATATTGACTAGGTCCTCCACTAGTTTGCTCCATAATACCTTCAGGAGCAAACTTTTCTGGGAACTTTCTATGAAAAGCAAGATGCTTTTCATGCCAATTCGACTGTTTCCAATGCTCCGGAGAATTTTCTTTAACGAACTCCTGAACCCTATTTCGAAATTCAATGGCTTTCAGTAACAGTAACTGAATGATGAAGAAACACACTTGAGCTTCGCTCCCTTCATGAGTTCTCAGTACTAGACAAAGAATCAGTCTGTCAATGGTCACTATATTATACTTCCAGATCATGTCATTGATTGTATCTACGCATTTGTTTACGTGTTGACCACCCACACTATTTGCAAATTCAAATACAAGATAATCACAAAACTTTCTGAGATGAGCAGATAAAGCTCGAGCACCAATTCTTTCTAGAATCTTATATGCGATTGGGCTAATGCGATCAGTCTCAAAAATCATCTTCCACAAAAGGCACAAAAACAAAGGAGGTGTTCCAGGTACGGAAAAGTGTGCAATGATGTCATTTTCATTACTCATAGAAGCCCAGTTTCTATACTCCTCTTCTACTGCCTTCTTTATCTGCTGTTTATTTTCTTTCGGTACACTATTTTGTTGGAAAAATTCACTGAGAACTGGTGGGAAACACTGAAGAGTATGATTCGCCCATGAATGTGGTGTATTCTGCATTATTGTATTCAATAATTCCTTACACCACGTTCCACTGTGACTATCCGATCCTGTCCCTGTGACATGCATAGACCGTGCCAGTGTTAACACTAAAGCTCTGTTTAATTCTTCGGATTCCGCAGAAACAAGGGTCTTTGGTTCTGATAAAAATCTAGATAATTGTGGCTGTACTTCGGCAGATCCTAAACCAGTAATTAAACGAAGAGCAGTACTTTCTACACACAAATGGAGCTGTGTCTGATTAGTCTGCGGTACTGCCGCGAGACTGTGTAAATGGGACAAGAGTTGCACTCTGTAATGGGGTTGTATATGATGCATTCTATAACTGAACATTTCTAAGAGCGTGTACAATGTTCCCCATGCGTGCGACTTGAAAACTGTTGGAAGTAATTGGCTGATGAACCCTTTAATACCGAGACTTTCGATCTCTGTGTATACTAGTAGCCTACTGTATGTTTCCACTAGAGCTGGCGCCAATGCCATACTGCTTTTAGATTGGGCTAACTTAATAACGTGAGTGACAATACTGTGTATAAGACTCATTTTAGAATGAACCGTTAACGAATCCAAAATGGACATAGACAACGGCGTGGTTGGACCACTTGCGAGTGCAGCATTATTTTGTAATGTCTGCATTGGTTGTTGTTGCTGACCTTTCTGTGTACCAAGTATGGTGTCAACTAATGCTGCCATCGGCCTACCAAAATATTCTTGATTCGTTGAATACGCATTACACAATAAAGCAATTCGATAATCTGAACCCATACAAAGAGAAGTGTTGGGCATTACTAAGTGTTGCAAAAATTCGTGGTGTAGTTTCAATGTGTGAGGTATTGGTCTATGAATATTTGAGTGTTCAGACTGAGCTTTTTTCAACAGGTGTATCCATATACATGTGATAGCCATCTGATGTGTGCACAACGCTTGACTATAATCCGGGACAGGTAAAGGTTCTTTTTCTGGATAAAGAAGATCGTATAATTTTAATACTGGCAAGAAGTTTGATAGCGGGTTTCTTTGAATACTTCCAGAAATAAATTGCAATAAGACCCACATTAAGTGATCCCTCCCTTTTCTCAAATCCCTGCCTGCTAGTTTATCGTGTATTGCCATTACGATACTCGGAAAACAGGCATATGAAAAAAGTACAAAATATATAAGCTGTGACGACAGATGCAACCATACATAATGATTCGCAACAGTTCCATCCGTTCCTTCAGCTGGTAACGTTTCATTTTCCGCTCGTTCCATGGCAAGAATAACCAACTCAACTAATTGTTCCTCTAGAGCTATACACCGTTGTTTTTGCTGTAATATAAAGAAAATAACACAACACATTTAACTTTTACTTTTTTACAGAAATTTAAAATACTTTTCATTTTAAAACCAAGGCATACCTGTTTCTGTAAACCAAGCATTGAACACACCATATCTCTACTATAGGGTTGTTCTAAAACATATCTAAGTAATCCAGTTTGGGGTTTAAGCAAGTCTTCATCGTATGGCAAATTTCCTTTCAAAGAAAATTTCAGAGTTGTGGTATCGAGTACCCAAGGATTAATCAAATCTGCATATCCAGTATGTTCTACAACCGGTAACATTTTCGAATGTCCGACAATAGACACCATTTGTGCAGTGGTGCGAAAACTCTCGACAAAATTTGAAAGTAATTTTGCTAATTTCTAAAAATGATCATTCGCATAAGTCATAATTTTATCAACAAACATTGAAAACTTCACGATTAAACAACATACCCAGTGTGGCCAATTTTTGCCATCAGGAAAAGCTTTTTGAATTTCATTTACAATAAAATAGCCTGGCAATAAACAAGCATTTCGGTCAAAAATGTACTCAATTACATTTTCCAAAGCTTTTAACTGTGGTTGAACAGATGCATTTAATCGTGCAGGAATAGTTTGCGCTTTTTCTTTGCATCCCTATGACATCACAATTAAAATTTTCCATTTCCTCTCTACATGCCTACAATATTGATTTTAACAATACTTACTTTCATTACTTCTCTAACACCTTTATAATCAACTCCTCCAATAATATGTCTGATCAGGACAAAACATTCTACCCAAAAGTCTTCTAGCTGATACTGTAGTTTGTCACAACTTAATATACACTCACATACAAGTCTAAAAATGTATGTGTAAATATTTATTAATATTGTAGTTTTACATACAAGATGCTCCACAATGAGTGGTACAGCTCAAAATTAGAGGATTCTATGTGTGAAAACAAGTAAAAAATATAAAATAAAATTGTCTCGTACTAATTTCTTCTTCCAAGAAACTTAAATTTAAATATATTTGAAATAAAAAGTAGATATTTTTCTGATTCGCGTGCAATGAGTAAAACTGATTCAATTTTGCATGTGTAATATAATCAAATAATAAATCATTTGTTATTTGATTATATTATTAAATTGCAAGATACCCTGCATCTTCATAGTGGTATTAATAATGCATACCTTGCTGGCAAGACATTGGATGTAACTAAATTTTCAAGTAATGACAATAGCAACTGTAACCGTCTATGATTTGTCATTGCTGCTGCCATAGATAAATATTGTCGTACAGCACTCTCTTGCTGTTCCTTGGATATATTTGACATAGCAGATGTTAGCTCTGTTTGCCATGATGATATCTTTTCGTTTTCACTATTTGGATGATGTACAAGCACACAACTGAATGCTTCTTCTATGGCTTCTACTTTCTGTAATATTTCCATACAAGTTATTGTTAAGATTATAGTAATAAATCGTTGTTGTTTGTTGATTGCACTAATGAAATTCAATGAAAATATATAACAACATAACTATCTCAATTAACTCAGATTCTCAGACCCTTATATTCGTTTAAAAATTAATTAAAAATGCTGAGTAGCAATTATGATTACATTTAATCTATCTCTTACTTTCTATCACTGGACTACCCTATCAAAATGTACGATAGCAAATAATGGATGACATGTAATAGAATATGTAATAAGAAATCTACACTGACTAACATTCAAACAGTGTCAAAATATATTTACCAAAATATCGTTGACGATATTAGTGATTTGTGTTTCGCTACTCATCCTTTTAATGTGGGAGTTTCCCAATCAAGTTAAACACAAGTTTAAACTTAACACGTAAAAGCGAATGTTATACTGTTCAAATTGACTTTGCTCATAGTTTCTGTTCAGCATTCATTCAACACGCATCGTAAACAAATTTGCGAACATATGCCGAGTTCTGTTTATGTTTTCATAACCTATACGTCCACTTATATTAGACAATCGATACAGTTTTTGGATGCGTCTCGTCAGATGTCTCTATCACTATAATCGTGTTACTATTTTTGTCCAAAGATGACGTTGTCAGTATTTTGTAATGAACACGAACATTCAGTTCAAATTTTCTTCGTTGAATACGTGGTTACAAAACGCTGCGCAAAGTATAAGTATAAAACAATAGATAAGCGTAAGATTTTAACTCCAAAGTAAAACTTTGATTTCCATTCCTTTAAGTATTACGCTAATTGGTGGTGTACAATTATAGTTACCGAAGGAACGAAAGAATTCGTATGACAAATTGCGGTAATCGCATAACCTAAATAGAATTTCATTAATCAAAATAAAGTATGTTCTCACCGAAGCATAATGTGAAATCGACGTTACTTTGTGGACCGGCAAAATTAAGCAAATCTTTTATGTTCGAGGTAAATCTGATAGAAAATTTTAATATTATAATCCGCGCGGAAATGGAAGTTCATAGCAATTATTTCGGTACCCCTCATAATATTTTCAAGATGTGAAAGTATAAAGCAAAGTAATTTACGTAGCACCAAACTATAGAATATATTCGAGCCATAATCATTTTCTCCAGTAATAGAAACTTAAATTTGTTATTTCAATGAAAACTAGTTCAATACAATTTCAGCAATTTTCCTGAAAATCAAAAATACATTCGTGCAATATAAAGGACACTTCATGAAATATTTCACAAACAATACGGGTTGTCTCGTAACTGGTACATAGTATAATTGATAAAACTGATTTATGTGATAATTAAGTTCAACTTTTGACCAGTATAGTAGGTATAAAATTTTCGGATGTAGTTCTGAAACAATTCATCTTCCGATTTTCATGAAACTTGGTAAAATATTCGCAAATACATGCTCCCAATTGAACATATGTGAAAGTTTTTTGTATGGTAATTAAAAATTCACCGAGATAACACCAAAATAACAAATACATATTTATAATACTAAACACACTCATAATCCGGACTGTACAATGCCCCAAAGTTATTTGCCGCCATTTTCATATCTGCCTGTGCTATTTCTTCGAGTGTTCACATAAAACGTTTTAAATAACGCGAGAAGAGGTAATACAAAACAGTAAGAAAAAAGAATTAAAAATTTTCGAAGACTAAAGAGGCGATGTATCCCCTCAAAGTGTGGTGTCGCAGGGGCTAGTATTTGTTACGGGGTCTGTTTTTGTCACGATTGGTCCCGACATTTCCGGAATCGTTTTCCTTCGCAGGCAGCAATTTACTGGGCCGAAGAAGGACGCCGTGTCGTTTACATTACACCAGCCCCGTTGGATAGCCTGCCGGCGGCCTGTCACGACAGAAGCAATCCAGCACCCGCGGCTTTCAAGCTGATGAGATTTATGTAAGCGGAACACTTTTCTTGCGGCGCTTCTGCACGTGCAACGGCCTTCGGGATTCGTTTCTATAAAAAGAGCGTCAGATTTATGCCCACTTAACTAAACTTAATTTCCAGCTTGTTTTGAAATTGCCTTACTTTCGGTAGAATTCGAGTCTCGAATGTCGGTTAACGCTTCGCTCGGTGATCAAAATCGAAGGTTGAGGTTAGGGAAGGGGGGGAGTGAACGAAATTTTTAAATGGATGTTATTATCCATTAGGTGGACAAAGAACAGAAAATCTGGGAAGTTAAAGAAGGAGATGTTACGCCCGTACTTCTTTTTCTATTTTTTTTTTGTTTGATCTAACAACGGTGATACTTCAGATTGTATATTATGTTGTGCTACGCGCGAGTCAGTTTCGATAGGTTTATTGATTCTACCGTCGAGTAAACGACGGGGAGTTCGCAATTTTTATGCCCGGATTCATCGCGGCAGCGGCAGAAACGGTAAAAATAAACGATCGAGGATCTCATCGTCTGTTTGTTTATCGAAGAGAGATTCCGTGTCCGCGAGGATTCGTCGAACTGAGGTTCTGGCGAAAGAGGAAAATTCCCCCGGTTCTAATTGCTCCGTTTTAAATGGAAATCACGCTGCGCTCAGGGCACTGGCTTCTGTTGCCTCGTGCGAAACATAAATTTGACGGATGTATTCGTTATACTACTATACACAGTATGTAGATTGCGCTTTGATCAATCCATGGGACGTCATTTTCAAAAGAATACGCTTTTTAAACAATCAGTGATAATTCATTGAATAGCCGGTTTGCTAAATGAGTAACAGAACTAACAATAAAGAAAGCAAAATTTTCAGGAAATCGGTTTGAAAGATTTTGCGGTAGAAAATTATTCATTACTCGAATATTTGACAAATTTTTTTTCTTTTACAATGTAGCTGATTCTAAAGTCTTTGGGTTTTAAAGGTCTCTAATAAAATATTGTTTATGTACATGCAAAAAATTAGATACATACTATGTATAATATTTCGTGAATGTTTATGTAATGTCAGAGAGGAAAACTGAATAGCTTCAATCATAGACAAAAGAAAGAGGATGGAAGAAGGCGAGGCCCGGTTTAATGACTGCCTTTAAGCCTGACCCGGGTTTAAACTATGCTGCATACCGATTTGTATGCCGATTTCCATAATCTCCGTGAAGTTATTTATGCAACATGTCGCCTAGCATAATAACATAAATGAATCACACACTTTCTCTTTATCAACATATCTAGGTTGCATACTTTTAAACTTCTGTTTATTTCCTTGTTATTACTTTTTAAATACTTTATTTAGGGTAAATTATATCTGACATAGAACTGTTAGATTGAAAACAGCAAAAGAAGTATCTGTATGCAATAAGGTCGCGTTACCAGCATTTACAAAATAAGAAGTCACCTAACAAAGAACATTTACAACTCAGGTACTTGGAGAACTACGAGGCGCTCATGGGAAGACTGGTCGAATTGCACACATTCGCCACTCTGCCATCGGTCCTCTTAATCGACGATCTCGACGCTTATATTAAGGATTACAAAAGCACAGAGGCGATGCAAGATCTGCACATTGCTAAAACCTGCGCGATGATCCTCGACACCATGAACGCGTGTTCGCGAATTTTGAAACAAACCGTAAGTACAGAAATATAAACGGAAATTAGAGAGTACAGCTCTGCCGAGTGGACACCTTTTTTTTTTTTAACCCTCCGTTGTCACCCCTTTTTCCAACGTAGTTGTCACACTCGGTGAATTTAACCCAAGCCAATATTCAATCATATGTTGTTTAAAAACTATTTGTTAAATTGAGTTGCAAAAAATTGTGAGGCGCAGTTTGAACATTGCAGATTATATTTTCACGGTTAAAAATTAACATTAAAAGTTTCATAACGTTGAAAAAAATTCTTGAAAGAAAAATTAAAATTTTGAAAGGGGCAATTTTTAGGGGAAAAAATTCATTGGGCGTAAATATTTTCTGTGCCAATCGTGCTTAATTCGTGGAGTCAATCGGTTCGGCTTCTAAGAGGCTCGTGTTCAGTTCGAACGATAGGCAAAATTAAATTGGCAGGGATAGCGACGAGCTTATAACGAAGAAGATGAATCGACCTCGTACTGAGCATACTTAATCTATGATAATCTGAGAGTTTCGTTTAAAATATTCTTTTTAGGCATACGTGTGCGCGTGGTCGTCTTCAGCGATGAACCATATAAGCATCTACTCAGTGTACTTTTTCAACATATGGAATGTCACGGACGAAGAGGATAGTCGAACGATATTATTAGAAAAATATGGACGTCAAACGTGTGAAAAGTGTCCCTCATATAGATACTGCAAACTTCAAGATGGAACGCGAGTTCTGAAGCAGATATTTTACGAGACTGTTGAAAGTTAGTCTTTTTCTTTTATTAGTTCTATTTTATTGTTCAAGTTAATTTGAAATATGCTAATCAGGATATATAGCAATATAGATTGCAATTACTAATTTTAACTATAACATTTTTATATAAAATATGCAATGGGAATGGTAACGGATACTTCTGCCAGTAATAGTATTATCCTCCGACCAATACTGCTTCTAGAAACTGCAATCGAGTCTGACAATGCGAGCAGACCTTGAAATTAAAAAAAAAAGCAGCATCTTTCCCCCTCTTCAAGCCCTGTGCAACCCCCTTGACGTTGAATCACCCGTGAATACAAGTTCGTCAAGGGCTGTCCCATCAGGAAAGCAACGAACGACTTTCCCGGCGCATTAGACCGTGCGAAAGGTAGAGGCACGCTAACAAACGAGCAACACCGAAAAAGACAAGTGCACCGGACGACGGCGCGCGAATGTTGGCGTCCTATTGTCTGGTTCTTCAGCTCGAGCAGGTCGAGGGCCGAGTCTCGGATGGAAAAAGAAAGAGAGAGAGAGAGAGAAAGTGGTCTTCTGCTGCCCCCCCCAACCCCCGTTCACCCCCTCCGGTATAGACTGAACCGACCACTCGTTCCAATCGGTCCGAAACAATCTGAAACTGTCAGGACTACGGGCCCCGTGGGCATCTCCGTTGGTAATAAATGGAAACCTGCCGGCACCGTAAACTCCACGGACGGGAAAAGAGGATGGAAGAAGATGAATTTTAACGAGCCAGCCGGCGAACGACTGGCTCTGCACAATAGACGACAACCGATATCCTGGATCGCAAGCCGATAACGAGGCTGTGATTTCTACCGTTTGAATATGCTAGGAAACTATCCAGGCAACAACGAAATGCTTCGATATAAACATGAATTAAAGGGGTACGGAGTATGTATTTGTTTAAAGCAACCGACAGAGTACATTATACTTGAGCCTAGAGATGAATGAAGAATCGATACCAAGTATTTTTAGTATCGGTACTTTCGGATACGATACTATACTCGGTATCGAAAGAAAGTACTTATGTCGAATGGAGCGAGTCAGTAAATCCTCGATAAGTGCTGGAGGGCTCCTCGGCACTTACAAGGAGATCCCCAGGTGTAACGCTGACTTTTTAATGAGTATATACATAATATAAAGTAACATACACAAAAATACGATAAAATATTTCTTTAGTCATTTTTAAATAATTTACGAATGAAAGGGTTAAGCTCGATAAAAACATTAAAAAGCAATGCTCGACACATCCGGGACCAATCACGTGTTCATCATCGCTGGTGCAAAACCAAAGTCGATCGACGTGTCGTGTGTCAGATAATAGGGGGCAAACGTTTACGGGTTAGATGGGGGAACGATGGTCATTACAGGGTAGAAAATTGCAGGGTTAGGCTGCTAAGTTTACATGGCCACGAGTGGACCAGTCGACACCGTGGGTCCAGGATCACCGAAGAGACAACGGTAAACCACACCGACATCTCTGCGTGTCCCGATCGGAGGAGCAAGAAAGAGACAAAAGAACGTCGACGGCCTAGCGAGGGGAGAGGAGAAGGGTGGAGAGAGAGATAGAGCTGGATAGACGGTGGCGGAAGGGGAGGGAAAAAGAGAGGATATCGCATACCTGAGTGAACAGGTGTGCCGTGGTGGACGACGAAGTGAGTTGCTGTCCGGCCGACGCGACAGCGGCTCGGCCAACGAGCAGCCTGTTAAGTCCCTTCGTGCACGGAGCAACAGGGACGACAATCACTGGGCCGGGTTCAGAATTCGCGAACGCTCGACGGTGGAATTCCCCTCGAGAAAGGAAAATCACCACCAAAATCGTGACGCTCGACGGCGGAACTTTTTTCTTCTCCTCTACAGCGTGCCAGTCTTGTAAATCTCTTCTGTCGCGTTGCATGATAAATGTCGTTTCTCTTAACCCTAGATCGTTACAATTATTGTATAACTTACGACCTCGAATTCGCGATTCTCGGAAATTGGCACGGTTCCTGCCGTCAATATTGTCGACGTGCGTCCAGATTCTGCTGAATTATTATATACAGGAACAATTTGTCACTATTTTTAAGTCTGACTATCGTAAATACTTAGTAACGTAGGTTCCTACCTCGATAGTAGTAATATTTTTCTGAATTATTGCGTGTTTTCTTTCAGTTGTCATCTTTACGAATTATTAGCAATGATGTAAGTCACAGGATAGTTTAGTGAACTAGGGTTGAAATTGTTGAATCACTACATGTATTAATTCGTGTTCAGGAATTTAGTGTTCTTCATACTCCTGCTGAGGTTGTTTAAAATGCTTCGGTTGATGTTTGGATAGTCTCCGGTTTTAGCTGGTCAGTTGTTTGAAATCTGAGATTTTTCGGAAAATTACGCGGCAATAAAATGTCCCATAAACTACCAGTAGCATCTACATCCGAGAAATTCACGTGCCAATCTGGAAACGATGTACTATTTTCTCGAAACCAGATAAATTACCTCGAATAAACACATAATTCTCGTGAATGGTAAAAGGTTCCTTTCAAGCACATTAACGTAGTTGAGTCTGTTCACTTTATATTCATTTGGTGCTCTACCATTTTGTCAGCTGGCGTTGCCTGCAACACCCAAGTCAAATGTGGAAACAGCTAACTATGGTTTTTTAGACAAATGTTGCCATTGACTGCTGGCAATTTGCTCGAAACTTGTACACTCACCAGCAAACTCGGCTTCCACTAGGAGAAAAAATGAGATAAGCGAAGAGTCTCCTATCATTTAGTTTTGGGAGTTACTGAAATTTATGTTAAATTCACACCCGGTTTAACATTTATTTCAGTACTTGAAATAAATTTACCAAGTGGTAGGAGACCTATCTCTTACACCACCTTTTCCCCTAGCGGAAGCCGAGTTTGCTCGTCGGTGTACACAACTGGTTATCAGGTTTATAACTCGATCTAATAAATTATTTACGACTCAAACTCGGTAGATTTCTTTCGTCTATGAAAGTGAAAAGAAAACTCGGTTACGATATACATATTATGAAGCTGTTAGACGATCGAGGACAGTTAACCCGTTGCCTTACGATTTTCTTGACGTCTGCAGTCTTCAGAATTACTTTCTTGTCGATAGTTTCCCAGAAACGAAAGGAATTCTGTACTGATCGCAACTGTATATTTAATGTAAATGTTAAATATTATTACCAGAAAAATAGTATTTTACTTCGACACAAAGGAAATTAATAATATTTATATTTGTCGAATCGATTTTGGAAAGTTCAGCACGAGTCTGACTCGATGTCGCAAGGCAAAGGGTTAATGGCGAATCCTACAGAGCGAATTACACCCACGGGGCACGTAGGTGGGTAGCCGAGCAATACCTACAGCAAGTTATTATCTTGCTCGGTACGCCTACCAACGGGAACGGGGTTCAATCGAGAAGAGTTCGATCGTTCTGGCCGATTAAGCCGGGGCATTGTGTCCGCTTGTCCCGAGCAGGTGTCGCGGAGACAGGTATTGCTTGCACGCGACAACCCTAAGAATTATTGATGGGCACGCGACAACGTACGGTCGACTTGAAATCCGACGACGTGCTTAATCTCGTGACTTACGCCGAATCTTGTCCACAAGACGTATACGGATATGTACGGAGTGTCAGCGCACGATACTATCTTGTAAATTCACGAAATGCGATCGTATATTTTCCAGATACCTAATATAAATTGTATCGTTTGAGTGATTTTATTGCCCAGTGAAATAATCGTATTAGATTTTGGATTAAGTTGTTTGGGTGTTTGGTTGTGTACGGTGTGGGGCATTTGGAACATTGTACGAAGTGATTGTAGTAGTAGAATTATAATAATCGAGTGATGAAGATAATACAGTTGGGTTAATTACTGGTAGATATCATTTTGTGTGATTAGACTGAGAAATTTGTGAAATTATTTTAATACTATTTGTAGCCGCGGACGTAGTTTTACGTCATTTTAAAATTTGCAACTGGTTACTGCTGACGTAGTTTTGCGTCATTTTAAAATCTATTACTGGTTACCGCTGACGTAATCTACGTCAATTTCAGATGTATAACTGGTTGCCATTTTATATTTATGGGAAGGCAAATAAATGACTTTATGATTCGTAATTGTGATTACAGTAGCTATCTAATAATAAAGTGGTTTCAAGTTCATCAAAATGAGCCTTCGAACGGAATGGAAAATATTCCTGATCCGGAACAATGAAAAGGCAAATGTTGCAGAAATTGTACAAGAAAGAGATATTAAATTTTATTGTTACGTAAATGTATTTACTTATTATTATTTTTTCTTATTATCATAACAAGTGATTAGAAGCATGAAATTTAATGCAAATTTTGTTTATTTTTGTTCACATTTTAATGTCTGAAACGTGTGGTAACCAGCTACAGATTTTTGTAAATTGTACACGGCTCCAATTTTAAATCGCGCGCTACTATCGTCGACTGAGAAAGTGTCAATATTAAAGCGAAGACCATACAAAACTCTAGGAAATGTTTATTGATGTCAGCAAAGTTTTTTCCGGAAGGTAGTGAAATATTTATTACTTTCTTAAACTTACTGCTAACTGCACAACTGATATAAATTGTTGTCGGAGTAAAACGGTTTAGGTGTATATAACAGACGTCAAACGACATTTCCGGTCTGTAACGTTTTAAAAGCATAAATTACAATAAAAAGGGCAAACGTTCTATACTACAGTGCGTCCCACGTAAAACCGGCCTCACTCACTGGTTAAGTACAAATCTACATATTTGAGAAATACTTTACTTACGTTAAAAAATAACCCGCTAACTGCATTTTTCTACTACAGATTAATACGCCTACTTTTTATCACTTTAGTGACAATACCTGGAACATTTCTTCACGATCGGCAGTTCGGAACTTCTTTAAATGACATCAAAACATTCGAAAAATGGTGTTACTGTGACTAGTGACTACTAGTTCGTTATTTATCGTGAGCAAACATTATTAATAACAAATTTCATAACGTCGTAAGATCCAAGTAAAAAAAGAAATGTCCAATGACGAAAAACAAAACTCAATAATGAAAATTCACTGAAAAAACATTGCCAGTGAAATGTTTCCTTAACGCAACTCCTAATTAGGGTTAAAATAAACGAAAAATAAAGTGAACAAATCGGAGATATCGTCGAAACCCCCGAAGGCGAACAAATATCTGCGTCCGCGATCGGTTTAATTCAAAAAGGATGCGGCAACGTTGTTCCCCGATTCAAGGCTTTTTGCGGACGGTCGTTGTCGGTGGAAGACAATCGCGGCGAAACGTGGTCGCAAGCGCGAACCACAGACAACGGGGGAATAAATCAGATCACCGATTGAAATTTAATGAGGAACGGTGGATGTTGCCCACAGGTGTAGCTACGGGCGTTCCACTCCTAAACGCGCGACGGCCCCCCGTCTGCACCCTCTCTCACCCCCATCCGTAGCCGAGGGGGCCCCTCGAGCACGGTCGGTTCGATGTTTAAAAGCTACATTCCATCGAAGAAACAACCAGTTTCTGAATCGGTTTCGAATCCCCCGGATGACTCATGAATCTTCGGTCCCCCGCGGAATCCGCCTCTGTCGGTCGCGTGACGCGCGAAGAGGATGGCGAAACCAGGCGTCGGGAGTTGATTTGTATCGGATCGGATACCGCGCGCGTGCTTCATTGGCCCAGTGACTACAGATATAGGGGAGACCGGGGCAGATTGTAAGAGAAAAAGTTTTCACAATTTTTTCTCAAAAGTGTTTTCCTCGATCAGGAACTAATTTGCGTGACTTACTGCTCAGATCTTTAGTCAACTCATTGAGTGTAAATATGTGACAAAATATTTGATACTTAGACATTTATGTTCATCTTAAACAAATCAGAATCTTTGTTACAATGTGCCCCAGCCCGGGGTAAATTGTAAGACGTCTGTTTTATTTAGTTAAACACAAATATGAATACAAAGAAACATTTCCACAAAATATAAATGAAAATGCATATCATTATTATTACCTGTTTAAAAATATTCTTGCTAATCAAAAAGCTCGTTTTGTTTTTCTTACGAGTTCAGACACTTGGTGCTTTATTACGAGACCATTTTTCTTAGCGTTGTCCAAGTAAAATAAATTTGTTCATCGCGAGTTGATCTGTACCGTTCGAAAAACGAAAACGAGACGTAAAAAAAGCATCATCGTCATAATTATCTCTGACAGTAATTCGAGCAATGTTAAAAACGAAATCATGCCTACACGGTGATATACTACTCGGATCGAGATAAGGAGGAATGATAAAAATAAAATCGTGCATACAAGTCAATTTCTGAATACGGAGAGTAGATACAAGTGGAGAACAGGTGTGAATGTAATATACAAATATTTTCAATAAACGATTTGTTTGTAACTTTTCACACACGGAGGTGTAATAATTATTACGTTACTAATGGTTATATTTTGTTCACATGATATTTAAGTGTAACATTTGATGAAGTTTTATTGATGAAATTTTATTTTTACAATTACGTTCTTGAATAAAACATTTTTGAAAGACGGATATGTTTACCTGGTGGATGATCACATAATAGCGCAAATAAATGTTTCTACGCCAGCCAACGTATTTTTCGTAGAACAGTGCGATGATACATGATCCCGCCATTTATTCGAAAAAAAAAAAAAAAAAAAAAAAATAGGTGGAAGAATGTCATCTTCGTTTGTAATTTTACATTCTGAATCACCTTTACCTACGTATTTCTAAAAACACAAATCACATTGTTCCATAATACCACAATACTAACACAACGAATACAATAACATAGTATATAAAACACTTGGCATCTGACACTTGGCGTTTTTCTTAAAAACGACAAAAACATCCTCAACGTCTAATAACGAAATTGCCTTGAATCCACCGTTCGAAACATCTCAAAGAAGAAAAAACGGGACCAATCGCACCTCGCTCCCATTTCCGCCGTTGGTGTCCACCCCGGGCGGTGTTCGGTCCGTCGTTTCACACCAGGGACACATTACGCCGCTACGCGTGACGCCAGGCCCCGTAGGGAGGAGAACGGGACGGGGGTCCGGTTCCCGTCTCAGTTCGGGACCGTCGAAATCCCCGGATCGCTTGCGAAGAGGAGCCGTTACCACATAGGGAACTGCAACTGGGGAGTCTGCCGAGACAGGCCGCTCCAGCGGGCGGGCAAGTGCCAGTTGCTCGGCAGCGTTTGCCACGGCTGGACACGCGTTCGCGTCCTTACGAACGAGGAGAGGGATCCTCTCTCCTGTGCACGCCAGATCATACGAAACCACCACCCCGCGTATACGGATCGTGATCTATTCGATCATCGGGCAATTCGAGGAAAGAGAAAAAAAAAAGGGGGGGTGTGTGGAGCAGGACCCAAACTCTGGCTACCCAAATAGTACCCTGGAACATCTTTCGGGGAAGGGGGATAGACAAGCTAAAAGTGAGGATAGGGGACCAGGATTCCAGCGATTAGTAAACGGGACGAACAGGGATCATGAATAGGAGGATGCCATGTGCAACAGCCAGGAACAGTGAGTGCGTGTGAGTGGGCCAGTGCGTGTACGCGCGCGTGTCTCGGCTACGGTCCTTCGAGCCTCGAGGACGGCACCAGCCGAGGGACACGATGATGATCATCCCGATGATACGGGCCGCGATCCTCCTATCCGTCTTCGTTCATCTAGATGCCGTTGCGAACACCATCACCATGGCCAAGGTAAGTGACCAAATGTACACCTGACCGCGAGGGGGTGGGGCTGGAGGAGACAAAAAAGTGGAACGACACCACATGGGGCTACCTTCACGAATGGATTGTCGAGGTTTCTTGGTGGTTTTTTTTATTTAAATGTATATTAATAACCCCAAACTGATTGTTTACTCTATATGTTATACCTTTTTTTTTTTTTTTACAAAAACCCTAAAAAAGTCTTTTTTTTCCGTTTACACCAGAACGTACCCATAATGTAAATAAAACAATATTTCATATTCCTATTGTTATACTGGTTTAACGATAGAACAAGCTGTTCCCTATTGACCACGTAAACGCGCACATTTTACCTAGCGTTGTTTCATTCTTCGTTAATTAATCGTGGCTCGGCAGTCCCCGATAACCGCGACAGAAGCGACGGTTTGCAACGGGAGAATGGTTTTACAGTCGGTGGCTGACAGAAAAATTATTAGCACTTTGCGCTCCTACACACAAGCGTCGGGAGCCTTTTAAGTGTCTTCCCGTGATGCGATACAAATAGTCTTTTGTTTGCGCGCGGCAAAGAGGAAAGGTAAATAGCGGGTGTAAACGGCGCTCGATTAAAAGATCTCCCGACAATCGTCGAACCTCTGTTTTTCCTCATCTCTTCTTTTTTTTTTCTCTTCCTTTCTCTCTCTCTCTCTCGAATAATAGAATTATAAATACGCCGGTATCTCTCTTTCTCTCAGCCAGCTAATGATTAATCGGAGCTCCCGGCTCGTACCGTGCCCGTTGCTAACTTAATTATGTGGAGCACAGATAACTCGCTGCCTCTCGCACCCGTACGAAGATAATTTCGATTTCTCGTTACGAAATTTTATTTCCTCGTGCCCCCTAGTTTCGATCTGTTACGCGTGGATTTTTCCCCAAGGATTCGTCGTACGTGGAACTTTTCGGAAATTTCTTTCGTGTTTCCTTTCTTCGAGACTTTGGTCATTTCCCTCGTTTCTGTTTTTTCTTTTAAGAAATTTGAGGCAGTTGGGTTTGACAGTGATATTCCTAGACGAGAATTCGTGATTTTGAAGTATTTTAGGTCGTAGATTCGATCTTTGATACTGGCTACTAGTCATTAGTATTTCTTTACTGTATACAATTTCATTAGGATCACTTCCTTAGAAACATATCACGATCGCCACCTGTGGCTATTTGATCTTTTTGGAATATTTTTTATCCAACCAGGGACGCTTGTTTATTGCAATGTTTTCTTACACGATAATGCAAAAAAAAATAGAGGGGCTCATAACAAAAACGACCCTTATCAAATGTTTCGGTTTTTGTATGAACACAACATGGTAGAGCCTTGCTATCAAAAATGACCTAGGGTACTGCCAGTGTCCCTACAACAACTTTTGCCAAAGCTTTTTTTTTCACAAGAAAAGCTGATATATTGACAAGGTTATATTGACAATCGTTTTTGTTATGAGCCCCTCGATTAGTTGTGTAATAAGTATAATAAGACTCCCACCTCGCTAGTTAAAGGTTAAACTTCATTAGAATATGGAACACCACAAAAAAATCATTTCATCCCAAATGCATCAACCCTGATAACCAGTTGTGTCCAAGTTTCGAGCAAATTGCCAGCACTAAATGACAAAAGTTGTCTAAAAAACCATAGCCATCTGTTTCCGCATTTGACTTGGGTTTTCCAGGCAATGCCAGCTGACAAAATGGTAAAAGAAATTGACAGAAAGTCTTGTAACATGACTTATGTCAAATTGAGGACAAAACCGGAACAAGGTTTCGGACTGGGAAGTTCACGAAAACTCAATCCCAGATAGCACATAACGCCTTAAAGACGCCCATTTTACGGCTATTTTAGGTCCAAGACGCCTTTAAGACGTCTTCAAGGCGTCGTTAAGCGTCATATGCTATCTGGGATTTAACGTGAAATTTCGTTCAGTGATAGTCGGTCATTCTAACTCGAATATTTCCGCAGAATCATGTACCCTAATCAATTTCCGCGGCGAATACAATCATCGAGCCACGGACGATCCTCACAGCGCGGTTTAAGGCGAGAATCACATTTATTTATGTCGCGGTCATTCGATTCCCCCGTTATCGCAATTAATTACGATAAAACCGTAATCGTCCAACGAGAAATGCTTCTTTCTCCGACGCCCCGATTGTTTGTAAACTATAACATAAGCCCCAACATTGTAGCGGCGAGAAAGGGTTTGCTGCTCGGCCGTCGATAACACGATTTTTCATCTGAACCGGATAACAATTGCCTTCAATTATTTTCCCGGAGCTCGGTATACATATATTTGTACGCTTGAACGTCGCGAGACCAGCTTTTTCTCCCCTCTGGTGGCGATAACGTGGGACTGTTCGCTGCACGATTTCCAGGAACACGTTCTAGAATGACGTTCGTTTCGCGTGTTTTTTGACCCAAAAGTGTGCATGTATCGTACGGTGTGTAGGAAAATAGGATTATAATCGCGGGAGGATTTTGTTAGTCGGAATTTAAAACAACTTGTTTGCGTTGCTCTGTTTTGATTGAATCCCAGATGGCACATGACGCCTTGAAGACGGTTTAAATACGCCTTAGACCTAAAATAGCCGTAATATAGGCGTCTTTAAGGCGTCATGTGTTATCTGGGATGTTACAACATCGTTATCGGGACTATCTTAATAACGGTGTTTAATAACTTAAATTGATACTTTCGTGAGCTATATTCATCTATCGCTAGATTGAAGTATCTATTAACAACTAATATCAACTGAATTAACAAATTTTCGCAATCGTACCATTAAGAATAAAACTACGACTTGGGGTAAAATTGATACCAACACGATGCTTCCAATTTGACCTAAATATATACGTTTACGAACACCTATCGCCAGATTGTATTGTGCATCAACTACAAACATCAACTTGATTCGCAAAGTCTCCTAACGAAATAATCGAAGATAATATTTCCATTTTCCGTGAAATCGATCGAAAAATTGCACGGGGGTCGGTATTGTCGGATGCGTAAAGTAACGACGAAGAAGTCGACCAGCGTGGATGCAAAAGGAGCAAGGCACAAAAGGCAGAAATGGGAATATCTGCTAACACCTGAGCATTCGGGAGAAGAACGGTGCGTGTCGCAATGCACGAGAAGGTGCACACGTGTGCTTCCACGGCGCGTAGAGGCAGGAAAGAGAGGAAGAGTGAGAAAGGGAGAGAGGAGAGGACCTCGTAAGATATTGGCTCTCCCCAAACAGGTTTCTTAGACACATTCTTTCTGAGCTTGATGCTCGCCATTCGTGCAGCCAGCTTCTTATTAATTATTACTCGTCCCGGGAGGATTAAGACGCGAAAGTTACGACGACTTTGTCAGATTTAAAAATTCCCGGGACCCCACACCCGGAAATTGTTTCACGGTGGCAGCGATTCATCTATTAAAGGCGAATTTACTAGGTTCATTTCGGAAGAACTACCTTAAACGATCACCGGCCAAAGATTTCGATCGGTCACTCGTCCGATCTGTCCCACCGTTAAGGTTCACATTCACTCCCGCGATAAAACAGGGGACCACCCTACCCCCCGGTTGAAAATCAGATAAGAAGGAGAGAAAACCGTCGGATAAGATACGTCGATTGTAGGTACTTGGAATCGCCGTCCTCGTGTCTCCTTTCCAGGTAGCAAACGGCTGTTCAAGCGATGCGCACGTGTGCACACCTTCGGAACCTTTAGATCGTCCGTGGTCCACGGGGATCGTTTTATCTCTTCTCGCCCGCGAGAAAGTCGAGATTACGCGGAAGTGTCCCGGCCTCCTCTGGAGCCACCGGTGAAAAAGAATTTGTCTCGAGCGATTTGCATACGTTCAATGTTAACGAACGAAATTCCTTGGCTGGTAACGAGAGAGGATCGAGCTCGCGCGCGCGCATATTTAATGAAACCAGGGATCGTTTGTTCGTTAGATTATGGATAAACCGAACATCTGGCGAGAAAGAGAAGGCTCGACTCGCGTGGACACTTTAATTTTATTACTTTCGCATTGCCGGTGTAATGAGATACGTCGATGGGCAAATAGAATTGGACGAGGCTGGATCACGATCCGCACGGAGATTCACCGCTGAGATATCGGTGTTTTAGACGCGGTTCTAGTAATAGATGTCACAGTGTTTCTGTGTGTGCTGTTGCGAGGCTGGTTAGTTTAACGTTACGCGTTAGTGTTAATTGTGTCGTAAATGATACTGACTTCGGGAATGGACTCTCGTTGATGGGATTGGGTTGTTTCGGGAATCGGTGGAATTGATCAGGCTTTTATGGATGGAAATAATTGTCGATAAGGATTATCTGGTTGGTTTTATGTTTAAGGAATTGATTTGTTAATTGATTTATACGTACGTGATTTGCAGTGAGAATGCAGTTGTTTCTTAGTAGTTGAATTAGTCGAGTCGATGCGGATGATATTGTTTTTGTATGTTAGCAGTGTTACAGACATAGAAGTATAGACTAGTGTTGTTAAAATGAGCCTCGAGTCTTGAGCTTTAACAGCTCAAGTCGCGGTTCAAACCCTAAAGGCTCGAACCCTCAAGGTTCGAAGCTTGAGTCGTGAAAGCTCGAGTCTTTAACGCTCGAGCCTTTAAGCTTGAAGGCTCGAGTCGTATAAATTGTATGTAGTGAAGTAATGTACAGACCTTGAGTTTTCGAAGCCTT